AATCGCATGAGTGTTTCTCTTCCAGTGTACCGATGGCTTCAAATCACAGCGCCATTCTTACTGGAGCGTGGCCTCAGCCGCTGGCCCCACCTAGTATTGGGGCTTTGTCATCACTGCAGGAAGTGGGGTGCAGAGGAGCTGCCTCTGAAGTGTCACCCACGTTCCACGTCTCTCCAGGAATCAGACGGCTACAAACAAAGCCTCTGGCAGCCCTTGCACGTCAGCTGAGAGCAGCTTGTCCTGTTAGGAAAAATATTTCTTTCAGGATGATGCATGGACCTCAGGCAGGCAGTGACTATTCCAAAACAGAACCTTAGGTCAGGCCCAGAGCCTTTTTCCTATTTAGGATGGGCCCCGATCCTGGGAGCTGTTTCCTTTTGGTATGCGTGAAGCTGTAACTGGCCTCCCAGTGACCTGAGAACTGCCTGCCCTGACTTAGTGAAGAATCAGCCTTGGAATTTGCTATAGATCTTCCACCCCGCTCTCAGCTGGAAAGCCCCTGGCCGCCTGTGGTTGCGCTGAAGCACGTGAAGTGGGGGGCTGGCCAGCTGGCCTGACCTGGCGGGTTGGACTTGGACTTTCCAAACCAGCGTCTGCCGGTTGTTTTTAATCTTGCCCTGCTGCCGTCTCCTCTCCTGAGCTCTTCCAGTAGGTGCTGTCGCCACTGCCTCCTTGATATCTTGGTTTATCGTCACCGTCTGGTTAATCTAACGGAGAGCCCCTTGCTCAGGGCAGAAAATCAGGGATGCTGATTTCATTGATTTGTTTATTTCCCATGGCATTTTGAGGTGAAGGGCTGGAAATGTGAAGCGTATTTTGGCAGTTGGTGAGTTTTAGGTACTTGCCGAGTATCCTCTGCCACCTTCCCATTGGAAGAAGTGACCTCCAGGGGGACCTAGCTCTCAGGGAGTGGCCTGCCGCTGCCTTCCCTGGTGAGTGAGTGCTAGCTCTGTGAGGATGTGGCCTGGCCGGGCCTGCAACAGTAGAGCTGACTCTACTCCTTCCCACCGTGATCCTTACAAAATCTCCGGTGAAACACATCTTCAAGTTTTCACAGCCCAAAGCATCCTTCCTCTAGGGGACTGACATGCGAATGATCAGAAGAGCTCTGAGTGCTTCTGGTTTCTTTTTTGTTAGTTATAGCCAAAACTAGAATTAAATCAACATTTCCCCGCCCCAAAGCCCAGGCTCTGGGCTTG